GTTTAGTAGACCTCGAAATTTTTACCGCTTAGGGCTCCCACTGGTCTTAATCCGCCGCTGTCTCGAAACTATTCAACATTACATATAAACTCTCTTTGCTATGTATAATAATAACGACGAAAATCGAGGTGTGAATATACGAGGTCTAGTGAACGACCCTGTTTCTACTATAAAATTGATTTACAGCGTTAACATACGTATACTTTTATTCTCTACGTAATCTTACGAAGTGGTTTCGCCGTCAGTTGTAAGTCCAGCATTGATCAGATCGGACAGGAAATTAATTTTGTATAGTTTATCCGATTCTCCTTTAAATTTGTGGGACAGTTGATCAATTATACGAGATAGTGTCCGTTCATTATTCGAAGGAGCTGCAGCTTCTTGCATAATAATCATTCCTTTCGACGGAGTTAGATTTACTTCACTGCGTTTTCCGTGAGCTACGATAATAAAAATAAATTAAGTAATAAAAGCTTGGGACGCTTGTTTATTAATAGTTCTTTCATGCTTAAGGAATATTTTTAACGTACCGCCCCAGCAGGCATGCCCATAGCTTAAGCAAGAGCCTGAAATAAATAATAAATATAATACACATGTTCAGAAACTCCTGCAAACGAGATGTTTCAAATTTTTATTACAGACTCTACTAAAAAAGTTAAAAATCATGTCCTTTACTTTTTCGTTCGAGACTTCAACGAATAGCGATTTTTTTTAATTGTTTTGTTATACATTCTATAGTAAAGTAAGCCCTATAATATTCCATAGAAAATTAAGTTCTTTGATCCAGTACTAAAAATGTTAATCCATTTTGAAATGTGTCCGCATATTAATGGAATCACTGTATATTATATATCAGTTCATTTATGCTTTCAAGTAGTCTTGATCTAAATCCTGATTTGTATAATCGATATTCACATTTTGAAATTCCATTTTTAGTTACTTCCAAGTATAAAGTACTGCAATTATCTCACTTTATCGAGTATCCTTGCCTTGTCTTAAACCACAATAAAAATTAATTTATTTCATACAGATGATGTTTATTAATTACTTTTATTCGTACGAACATATTGAGTCCAAAACAATTATTGTTGAGTGTTCTTCCTTTTATATTAATTTACGTATATTAATGTATTAAATTTTGAACAATAGTCCTATTTCTGGAATCATTGAAATGAGTCTAAAAATAATTCTGTTCAAATCCTTTATTCTTTTAATTTTATGCACAGCAGCGCTATTCCACTTCTCGTAGAGCTAAGTTTTCTGTTGCAAACATTTTGGAGACCAAAGGAGGATAGATAATGAAAAGGTCAATTAATGTCACGTAAAAAATTAGTTT